TTTATGTTTGTTTCTGCTCTTCTCTAAAGAAATGTAACACTATTGGTCTTCTTGTAGTCCTAGTTCAATTAAAATTTAAAGCTGACTTTGCAGTTGGAGAATGGCTCTCTCCTTCTTTAAACTCAAGCATGTTGTTAAAAGGAAAATGCAAACTCCTTGTATCATGCCAGAAGAAAGAGCCATCTTCTGATATGGGACAGGAGAAAAACCAAATTAATTAAGGGACTATTCTATTACTACTAATCTCAATTCTTTGATTCTATTCTGATTCTTTAAACTTGTCTTAAAATATGAATTTTATACAAAATTTACAAGATAGATATATATATATATATATATATATATATATATATATATACACACACACACTTTAATCTTTGTTAAGGTATTAATGGTCATATAGAGTACTAACTAATTCTAGACAAAAGGCTTCAATTAGCTGCTTATACATGTCTTTGTGTTCGAGTCTCTTATCAGTTTTCTGCAGGAAATCACGGCCAGGCCTAACATCAACTGAAGTCTCCAGGAAGAATATGGGGCCCCACAACAACAATTCCACGTGGACAATAATAATATCACTAAGCTGACAAACATTATCTACAGATCAGCTTTGAACTACAAAGTGCTCAGAGCAATTTTTAGAGGGCTAGCTGAGATGATCCAGTTTCAAAGACTATTTGAATAAGGACTTAAGATAAACCCTGAACTTTGGCATTATGCACAGACTGGATAACAAAGGATATAGCTACCTTTCCTAGAATTTGACGATTAACCCAAAATTTTTCTTTTCAGAATAAAGATATCTTCACCCATAACCAGCAGGAAGCAATTTTAAGAATATGATGCCCACATTCCCAAAGAGGTGGTGTGGGGAGGGTGGTTTTTTGGTCTTTTAATGGGTTTTAGGTCTGGAATAATTTTCATTGTTTAGGAGGGTTGGTTACAAGTTGTTGTTAAGGGTTAGGAAAACGGCTAAGCAAAGGAGATTAGATTTAAAGTTCTTGTTTAAAAAAAAAAAAGACAACTACTAGTTTTAAATACTTTACATTGGATTGGATTTTTTATATTGCATAAAAATTATATTGAGATTGAGACTGTTAGAAAATGCCATATATATATTTCTAATCTTGTTCAAGATATTGTACTTATACAGTTCATTTAACAATGTAATGCAATTTGCTGATCCTTGAATGTTGTTATTACCAACTAGTAGGATATAAAAAAATGAAAGTTAGTAGTTAGACATTACAATCGAACTTGTAGTCATATTAAGTATGTTTTCAAAATTGAGCAGATATATTTTAGATAGACAGGTCATCTTCAAACCCTTCAGAGATCTACAGAATATGGCATTTAAAATATTTTAATAACTTAGAAAATTTTTTCTTTTTTGTTATGACTATGAGACATGTCGGCTCCTGGCAGTACCAATCTACTTCAGAGAAAATATGGGCATTGAAGAAACTGCATATGGAGTTAACTTTCATTGTGGCAAAAGTTAGCCACTGGACAACAAAGTATCCTCGAATCAACAGCTGACAAACAGGACATGAAACAAAGGACTACCGATTCTTGCCAAAACAAGTGTGGTTGTGGCATTTTTTTTTGGAAGCTGCTTGCATGCACTTCCTGTTTTTATTTTCTTATTAGATAATATTATTTCCTTCTTGGGTCTCTGAGGGAGTTGAAGATTACTTAGTTATAGTCACAGTTTTCCTTGTTAAGAATTTAAGAAAAGAAACTCACTAAAGAGGTGTAAGTGTATAAATTTGAAAGACGTTATAAGACAGTTCTGTTAGTAATATAAGTTAGGATAGAAAGTGAATCTGGTACATTTTGGACTTATCAAAATAGGATAGATAATGGAATTATTTTCTCTGAATTTGTCAAATACAAATGGACTAGACATTGTTTAGGTATTTATTGCTTGTATATATGGTATATAGTTATTGTACTTTTGTATATAGTTTTTCTTATATTAGTTATAACTTTTTTCCTTTTTTCTTATTAAAATAGAAAAGGGGAAATATGATGATATTTTATTTGTAGTGAAATGTGATTTTATTTGTATGTTAATAAAAAAGTTGCCTGGGGGTCAGAGCTAATAGAAAGCCATAGCAGAAGCTGGGCGGTGGTGGTACACGCCTTTAATCCCAGCACTTGGAAGGCAGAGCTAGACAGATCTCTGTGTGTTCAAGGATACAGCCAGCATGGAGACACACGACTTTAATCTCAATACCAACCATAGAAGAGAGGTCTGTACAGACGGGCAGTGACAAGGAGGTCATGTGGTTGGGGTTACAACTAATGAGAAGGCAGAACAGAAAGTCAATAAAAGGACAGACACACAGGAAGTAGGTCTTTTTCTGAGGGGAAGCACAACAGCGGCAGAGAAGGGTAAGCTCAGCTCTCAGCTACTGCTCTGACCTCTTCAGCTGTTAACTCTGTAGTTGGCTCTGTGTTTCTTATTTAATAAGACTGTTCTCTACAGGATACCAATTCCTATTGAACCAGTGTGAAGGTTTTCCTTCAATGGGACTAATTTCTAATGATTACGGCTGCTTTGAACCTGCCTTTTCTGTATATACTTGTAATCTTTTCCTCACAAACCTACATTTTTCATATCTCTCTGCTCCATATTTTACTCTTTGTCACTGTTACCTGAAGAAGAGCTGTAAACAGTAAACAACACAGTCTGAATACAATATTGTCTTGAAATTTCCCCTGCCAAATAAATTAGCCTGCTCTTTTTAAATGTGCCCGACTTAAGTTCTCAGGACATGGGCCAAATAAAGTCAGATTTTTTTTCCTTGCCAGAATATAACATGAAAGGCCTCTAGCTCAGTTCCCCATATAGTCTTTGTTCCCCTTTAAAACCTCATGAGCCAGGCCTCCACTGTCCATCCAGTTCCCTCTGTAGCCTGGCCTTGCAAACTTCCATCACAATGACTCATAAAGTTCTGCTTACAGCATTCTGGGATTTTTCTAATCCCAAAGTCTAAATTCTTCCACACCTTTCTCCGACAAACTAGTTCCACAAGCTTAACAACCACACAGTCAGGATCATCACAGCAACAACCTGACTCCTGGTATCACTGATATGTATAATTTCTTGTTGCTGTGACAGAAGCAACTTAAGGAAAGAAAGGATTATTTTGGCTCACAGTTTGAAATTACAGTTCACCCTGGCAGAGTAGGCATGGCGACAGCTCCCCACATCCACTCCCCAGTTAGCTAACACAAATAAATGAGGTTGCTACTTGTACTCTTTTCAGTCCACGACCCCAGCTCAGAGAATGCTGCCACCCTCATTTAAGAGGGTCTTCCCACCTCAATTAGCCAGATGGGGAAAGGCCCTCACAGGCAGGCCAAAAGGCTTGTTTCCATGGTAATTCTATTCCCATTAATTTGACAACCAAGATTAATCATCAGAATTGGTTTTGGAGCCACTAAGGAGACATATGTCTAGGAGAGTCTATGAGGGGTTTCCAAGAGAGGATTAACTGAGGGCAAGACCCATCCTCAGCAACCAGATCTAGAGGTTCAGGATGTACTCCTGCCTCCCCTGCTTCTTGCTGCACGACTTCATCTACAGATGCTGCTCCTGTTATTCTTTCTTGACATTACATTCTAGCTCTTCAGTCTTCTGATACAGATTCAATAGCAACAACTTTGCAGGGAACTTCCATGCTCCCCAGCATTGGATTGAGACAGCTGAGCTTCTCGGACTGAACTCTAGGCTTTTCTACCACTCCAATAAGCAGATGGCCACTGTTAAGACTATCATGTAAGATAATCTAATAAATTCCCTTTTTCTCTCTCTTCTTCCTCCCCATTCCCTTCCTCCTTCCTTTCTGTTCCTCTAAAGCACTGCCTAATACATTTTTTTTTTCAGTTTTAAAGAAACGGCCAGTTTCCAAAGTTAGTGTATCTGTTTGCATTTCCATCAGTAATACAGTATTTCAAAAGTGTTGCATTACAAAGGTCCTGGGATTACAGATTTTTGTTGTTTTTCGAGACAGGGTTTCTCTGCATAGCTTTGGTGCCTGTCCTGGATCTCGCTCTGTAGACCAGGCTGGCCTTGAACTCACAGAGATCTACCTGGCTCTGCCTCCCGAGTGCTGGGATTAAAGGTGTGTGCCACCTCCGCCCAACAATTACAGCTTTTTTTTAAAAAAAGCAGAGTTATGATTGCTTCCTAAGACATTTATTTGTTAGCTATCATACTTCTGTTTTTATTCTACCAAAGTATTATTAAAGTAACTTATTATAGAAGCTTGTTAAAATAATAGATACTGGAAAAAAACAAGATCAAATCTTTTAGGAGGTATACAAAAAAAACATAATGATACTATGTACTGATTTGAAATTTGTTTCTTCCCCTAAAGTCACTTTATTTAAAAGAGCAAAATAACCTTGATTACTAGTGATATGATCAAAGTGATTTTTATAATCCTTAATTTATCCCTTAAGAAGAAACATAAAATGCTTTCTCTTTCCTTGCTTTGAGATATAGAAATCATAAATCAGTGGTGACTCATCTTGGACAATGAGAGCAAGGACAACAAACAAAAGATGACAGAGGGTAAGACAAAGGAAGCAGGAGAGTAAAGCCTTTGTGGAACCTACATGCTTTGCTTGTGCCAGTTTAAACCACTGTAGTGCTGGGTTGCTGGTTCAGTAGCCATGTACCTTTCAGCTAATAAACCGGCATTTCAGTGGATGCATTTAAATAGAAACAGCAAGTGTAGCCCCAAAATGAGTGTTCTTATGATAATATTTAAATACTCTAGGAAGGAGAATCAGTAATACTATTAAGAAGCCATATTGAAATAAATTATCTTGGTGTCTTTTGATTCATTTCCAGTAAGCAAAATAAAGTATAAATTGAACCACACAAGTAAGCTGACAAGATTAAAACAGTTTAAGGGTTATTTAATGTGAATTATTATATTTGGTAATATTATGATAAAAGCAAAAGTATTTGTAGAAATTCTTACCACGGAAAGGTATTCATCCGTATCCTGTTCTTGTAAATCAGAATTCCTCCTGACATTACTCCAATCATAATTTCATTGTTACTTTGATCCTTCAAAATAAATAAAGACATGACAATCTAAAATAATTAAAACAGGATTAATTTTTTTAAACACATAACATCACAAAGATAACAAAAAACTAAATTACACTTAATTACAAACCCAAATAGTTTGTTGTTGCTCATAAAAGGCAAATTTCAAATAAGCTTCAATGCGGCAGTACTAAAATTCTCTAATCTGGAAGCTGGAGAGATGTCTTAGCAGTCAAGCACTTGCTGCACAAGCATGAGGACCAGAGTTGGACCCTCAGAAACCCAGGCGGCCTTGGCAGCCCATCTGTAATTCCAGCCTTTGAAGGAGGAGAAAGGCGATCGATGCCCTGAGCAAGTGTCTAGCAAGACTAGCCATATAAGCAAACTCCGGGTTGAATCCTGCCTAGATGAATAAGGAAGAACAGCAATCAAGGATGATTCTTGACATCAACCTTGGGTCTCTTTATGCACATGTACACATGTCCAGGTACATCCACACATATGTAAGGACATGTATAACACACACACACACACACACACACACACACACACACACACACACACACAAAGAAGAAAGAAAGAAAAGAAAAAAATCATTGCCCTAAAGTACAAATAATCTAATGATTTCTCTTATGATCAGAACTTTTGGGTCAAGGGTAATCTATAATAAAATACCTATACTACAATGGGAAATCCAATAACTAATAATATGTATTAATATCATGAAAGAACAAAACAGACAATTCTTGGGGAATGTCAAAGATCACAAAGAAGAAATGTGAATTACGTTTTGAAGAATGCATGAGAGCTTTCATATGATGACAAGTGTGGTAGTTGGAATATAATTGGCCCCCATAAGCTAAAAGGGAGTGGCACTATTGGGAGGTGTGGCTTTGTTAGAGTAGGTGTGACCTGGTTGGAAGAAGTGTGTCACTGTGGGGGTGGACTTTGAGGTCTCACATATGTTCAAGCCATGCCCAGTATTACAGTTCACTTCTTGTTGCCTTCAGATCAAGATGGAAAATTCTTGGCTCCTTCTCCAGCACCATGTCTGCCTGCCTGCCACCGTGTCACACCATGATGATAATGGACTAAACCTCTGAAAATGTAAGCCACTCCAATTAAATGTTTTTCATTTATAAGGGTTTGCCATGGTCCTGGTGTCTCTTCACAGCAACAGAAACCCTAACTAAGGTAACAACTCAATTTGAATTGACTTGTCTGCATTATGGACAGTGAAAAGACTTTAAATACTTTTCTTAGAAATCAATCTTTGAAATAGTTTTGCCATTTCACTTGAGAGCAAACATGTTTTTACCTCCTGTAATTCATCTGCCCTGAAGCCAGACCAAATTAATGAAACAAATCCTTTAAACTGCAGTTTTAATACTTTCTTTTCTTCTTCTTTTTTTTTTTTGCTTTTCTTCATACCACTAATTATTACCAGTTATTTTTTCTTGTCCACAAGAACCTAAATAATAAAGAGTAGAGCCTTTTTCTGTCATCTGTTCACTGAACTCATCTGTAGAAAGAATAGTTCTCTAAAATCTGTACAAATATGTCTTAGCTGTTTAGCTTGGCATACAAGTCCATAACACTCCATTTTATCTTGCTCCTAACTAGCAAAAAACAATTCTAGTTAGGCCATCTCAGTTTGATGATATGTTTTGAGATTCCATAATTCATGTTTTATTAATGCTGCTTTCACATGTTCTTTGTTTTTCTGCCCAATCAAAACAACCCAAAATGAAGTCTAGATCATAAACTTCTCTATGAAACCTTAATTCACATCCACACATTCCTCATATTTATCTGTCTCTTAAACCATTTATCTGAAATACCTAATTTCTGTCAGTATATGACAATGGCACACCCATTTAAAAGACATTTTGGAAATGATAAAAACTACAGCATTAGCAAGAGACAGGATAAGGTTAAGTGGAAAGCTGACTGCAGAGGCATACCAGCAGCATGGGTTTCTTTGAAGTGATAAATCTGTTCCACATTGCAATTGTAGCAGCAGTTACACAAAGCCAAGCAAGAGCTAAAACTCAAAAAACTGAATATATACTACATGCTATCTGAAAAGAAATAGCCCTTTGTGGTTCCCCCGAAATCCTGTTTTGTTTTGTTTTTTAATTTTAAAAATCACCTTTAATTAACTATATATATTTTATAGGAATAAATATGGTTTTATCCCATTTCTAATAGCAAGGTTCAACAACACTTTTATCCTCTCTGAGACTGCAATGGTAGGATCTAAAATTGATGTCTAAACTGTGATTTGGGGAGATCAGTAGCAAATCAAAAGGAATTTATTATATGTCATTGCTCTTTCTAACACAATATTTTGCCTAGTATGAGTACTTTTATTTAGTTTTTAACTTTTTATCGATTCTTTATGGGCTTCACATCATGCATCCCAATCCCACTCATTTCCCTGTCCCTTTGCTCTCCTAACCTCCCCCCACACACAAAATTTAAAAGGTAAAAACAAACAAGCAAACAAACAAAAGCCCAAAGAACATAACAAACAAAAATCTCAGCATGGAAGCTGGAGTATGGCCCAGTAAGTCACACAGCATACCCTTTAGTCCATACATATATACTTGTAAGTGCTCATTGCAATGAGTCATTGGTCTGGTTTGAGGCCTCTGGCTCCCACTACACTATACTGGGCCCTCACTGGGGCTCCTCTGTGATATCCTATTGTTGCCTTGTGTCATGGAGATCCTGTAGCTTTGGATCTGCAGGTCTGGAACCTTTACATGCTCTAGCTGATCACAGATGAGGTGGATGTTGGGTGGGCTATCTCACAGTCTTGGTTCTGAGCCTGGATGGTAGCTGGGTTGGTCAGCCCACCAGCTTTCCCTCATGGTCACCATCTGGGTGGGCTCTCCAGCACTGCCCTGGCTAGCTCACTCAATATAGCAGACATTTCTCCTGCTCTCACACCCTCCAGTCCAGCTCATTCACACGCACACCACCAGGGCAAGCTCTACTGTTTTGCCCAGGTGAGGTGCAGGGTCTGCTCTCTGGATTGCTGCACTTGGTGAGAGGCAGAACCACCTCTTCCATTCTCATACCCCCCCAAAGGCTGGCTCTCCCACCTGTTGCAGGTGGCAGGAGTTGGGGTGAGGAATGGGGTGGGGCTGTTTCGTTTTACCCTCAAATTGTTATTGACTGCCAGGTATGGTGACATACACCTTTAGTCCCAGCACTTGGGAGGCAGAGGCAGGATGATCTCTGAGTTTGAGGCCAGCCTGATCTACAGAATGAGTTCCAGGACAGACATGGCTATACAGAGAAAGTCTGTCTCAATCCCTTCCTTCCCCCAAAAAAACTATCATTGACTTTCTCTTTTCTATAGTTCCCTATTCTATCATTCATACAATCATTCATACAACCCTTTAGCGACTGTGTTTGTATTTTTTCAAATGTGCTGTGTTCTCTTTTGATTACCAGCTTTCATTTGTGGTGATTGCTCAACAGTATCAAGAAGAAGGAGGAGGAGGAGGAGACCACACTTTTGGCAAACTCCCTTCTTTATATCAGCAGAAGGGAGTATACCACAAGAGCTGTCCCTGCGCTAGTTTTTAGTTCACATGCTGCCACCACACAATCCCTCAGTCTCACAGACGGAACTGTTAATACAAGATCCGTTTGCTTTTCTCCTCCATCACCCCACTATCCTGTGAGTTTCGTGAGGGCAGGTTGAAGGGTTTATTTACCAGGTGGACACTTCCGCCTAGCCATTTCCGGATCAAAGCGTCTCTCGTAGCCAGGTTACCCGGCAGACCCGGACGTCTCCGCCTAGCAAGTTCCGGGCCAAGGGGGTCTCGTGTGATCAGGGTCCATGACGTTACATGGTCACTTAAGCGCGCAACGTGACCATGTGATCTACACACACGCGTAGAGGAGTGACGTGACCTGGCCACGCCCCCAGCCGGTTTTAAAAGTGGAGTGCCATGTTTCCCAGTCCCTCTTCAGGCACGTGTCTCTCCCACAGGCCTGCACACTCTCTATCCCTGTATTTCCAATAAACTCTTATAAGCGGATTCTGTCGTGTTTCGTGACGTTTCCTTGCAGGGTAAGAACACAACGCAGCTAAATAACTAACACAGGTATCATTATGTTTTATTGCAGTAAATAATGCTTAGAGTGAATGCTATGGAAAGCACAGAATACCCCACCACAATGATGGCTTAAAACATATTTGAATCTAGGAGCTTGGGATAAATAACACTGCTCCACTTGAAAGCAGAGAGCAAACATTTCCCCCGTTTGTTATTTCAAATGCACTTTTCCTTATGATACCCAATTAAAACTTAAGTTTTCTTTCTGTGTTCCTCTTTTTGGAAAATTCCCTTTATATTTACTGAATGATCTTTTGAGGTCTTAGTATGCACATCCAAGAAATAATGCTTCTCCTAGTCCTTAAAAATATTTTTAGAGGCATCATATTACTATGCCTATGCATATTATAGTTAGGCTGCCCTGGGATGAGTGATCTTGCCTCAAGTTCCCAACTGGGTACTCAAATGGTAGTCCACCGTGTGGGACATTTTTTGTTTGGTTTGGTTTGGATAAAACATGCTCCTAAATAGCTAACCATTTAAAATTTAAATCCTCTTAACCTGACACTCTACATTTAGTTCTGTCTCAGAAACTGTTTTACAATCTAACAGTTTAAACAAATGAAAACTACTTTAATTAAATCATTAAATAACCATATAGTTAGTTATATGAGAGTTTTCTGTGGTGATATTTTGAATATATTCTAACAAATAAAGCTATCTGAAGCTCAGAAGGCAGAGCCAGCCAAAGAGTTAGCCATAGAGGCCAAGCAGTGGTGGTGCACACCTTTAATGCTAGCACCTGTGAGGCAGAGGCAGATGGATCTCTGTTGAGGTCAAGGCCACCCTGGACTATACAAGGTTAATCCAGTCTAAAAGAGAAACAGAGCCAGGCAGTGAGGGCTCACACCCTTAATCTAAGTACTTGGAAGTAACACGCCTTTAATTCCAGGACTAGGAAGTTTGAGACAGGAAGTAATATGGCTAGGCAGAGAAAGGAATATAAGTTGGGAGGACACAGGAGTTCACCAGCCTTTTGGCTGAGGGCTCAGGAACACTCAGTCTGAGGATTCGTGGAGAAGATATCTTCCCCTTTCAGCTGAGAAGTTGGTGAGGTGAGAAGTGGCTGTGGCTTGTTTCCTCTGATCTTTCAGCATTTACACCAATATCTGGATCTCGGTTGTTATTACAATGCTACATTTATTTAACCTTGCATTTAAATTTTTTGAAAGTTTAATATTCTTTGCATTTAATTGCCAAGAATCTCTGCAGATTTAAAAATCACTTAGAAAACTGCAAAGGAGTAAAACTCCCTTTTCTGGCCATTTTAAAGCATAACTAGTCAAAAAATGTAGTTCCATCAGTTGTAAACTTTCCCATAATAAAAAACAAAACTTAGCAGTACAAACACCAATGAGAGTATGTAACAAACCTAAGATGAAAAACAATAAGCCCCAAATAAAGAGAGAGAAGGGCCATGATTTTAAAAAAGCAAAAAGTTCAAGAGACACTTAAAGAATTACAAGATATCAATCATTTGAGGAACCCAAGCCATCAGTGAGACAGATTTAAAAGTGAGACAGACATACAATTTATGAAACATAAGTAGAGCTCGCTGGGCAGCGATGGCGCATGTCTTTAATCTCAGTTAATCTTAGGAGGCAGAGCCAGGCAAATCTCTGTGAGATTGAGGCCAGTCTGGTCTATAGAGCGAGATCCAGGACAGGTGCCAAAACTACACGGAGAAACCCTGTCTCGGGAAAAAATAATAAATAAATAAATAAATAAATAAATAAATAAATAAATAAATAAATAAACAAACAAAAAGGGAGGGAGGGAGAAAGGGAGGGAGGGAGGGAGGGAAAGAGGGAGAGAGAGAGACAGAGAGAGAGAAACAGAGAGAGAGAGAGAGAGAGAGAAAAAGAAAGGAAGGAAGGAAGGAAGGAAGGAAGGAAGGAAGGAAGGAAGGAAAGAAAAGAGATTAAATCCTAGAAGAGCAAGCAAGACAAAAAAACAAAAACAAACAAACAAAAAAAACCAGTAGAGCTCATTACCACGACGCTGACCGGGTGAGACCCTGAAGGACAAAAGCACTACAAGATGGAAGTCTGAGTATTTCCAGTGGACTCTGCACCTGCATGTGTCTGCATATTGAGGCAAGTTCAAAATAACTGACAGAAGGGAAATCATGGCTCTTACTAACTCCCTTCCTGGCTAATACTAGCCTAATTAGGCTCAAGAAAGTGTCTAAGGGAATAAATTATATTAATTTAATTATTAAAAACTCAGTTGATGACTATAATTCTACTGAAAATAGCTATACTTTAGGGACTTCAAAGGAATTTAAATCGTGGAGACTCACAAGAAGAAATACATGTGGACAGCTACTCACAAATACAGGGAGGAGGGTAGTAGTGTCTGAAAGGAAAAATGTTTCACACAAGAAAAAGATTACACAGTGAAAAGCCAGTGATTATAAATTTCACTTTAATAAAGAGATGGAGGCAGATACAAACATGACATATTGATATTCTTCATTTAGGGCTTTACAAATAAAAACTGACCACGAGACAGCTCAATGTTGGAAACAATCAGGACAAGAACGAAAGTTTCAGTGACATGAGAGCATCTTGTATGATCACAATTATCAGAGATTTACACAAAAGCACTTTCCTAAAGCAACCTTTTGTTTATAAAACACACATTCTAAAACTACTGTCACCTACAGTCTACAAACATGATTTTTGCAACATAAACAACCATGTGGAAAAAAAATCCACCAATTTGTACTTATGCTATTGTGAAAATATTAATAGAAGAAAAATTTAGTGTAACTATGTCAACAGCAAACACAAATTATCCTGTTACCTAGATCTCTCAAGGAATTAAAATTTTGAAGAGTTGAGTTAGTATGGATAAGCATAAGAGTACTCGCTCAACTCATACAAGACCCTGTTCAATCACTCCAGCCCTGTACACAGACAAAAAGATTTTAAAATCTTTGATACTAAGCTCAACATCTAAGTAGTTTTTCTTTACTTACCCTTGCATAGTGGAATTCAACTCCATAGAGTTCTAAGGTACGTGCTGTGTTTAGGTAATTAAATTCTGCTTCTGCAGGAGATAAGCCACTGTAAAGAAAACATCAGGTCAAAAACTAGATCCATAGTAAAAATTGCCAAATTACAGAAAGATTATGGAAAGAAATGAAGAGTCTCACTAGCCACCAAGCAGAAGTCCTCTTTTTATTTTATATAGTAACAGCTAACTTATTCCAAGGGCATACTTTTACTAGATTACTTTATTTTCCAGGACTATAAGAATACAGTGAGTCCTGGGGCTCGTGAGGTCATGGACCTTAGAGAGAACCTACTACCATTCTTTGATCAGACCAGTAGAATTCCTCATTACATCCTTAAACTTTTCCTTATACCCACAGTTAAGTGTTACTCTCATTCCTCCATCAAAGAAGCTTCTCTTTACAGGATATGGAGCCTATTACAAAACGAAACAAAACAAACAAACAAAAAACCAAACAAACCATAACAGGTCGTAACGCAGAAAAGCAATGGGTCATGGGGGGCCTAATCCCACTAAATACATCTACAACACAACTCCTGAACTTAAGGTCAGAGAACATTGAGAACGAGGGGGCTAAGACTACAAGAGCCAGCAGACCAGGGAAGTCTGCTATGAGATTCTGTCTTCTAGAAATGATAGGAAAGCTTCACTCATGATACCTCAAAAATATAGCTGCTTAAACAAGACCTAAACAATGGTGGTATTAATAGACATGCTAACAGAGAAGGGGGAAATCTCATGAGGTCCAATCTACAAAGATCAACTAATATGTGCTGGGGGGGTGGGGGGGGAGAATCAGTCTTTTCCAGGGATGAACCCTCTAATTGGTTATCCAATACCAAATGGTCTGTCAGCCCAGAAATTATACACACACAGGGCACACTAAATAGAGTCAGCAAGCTGTATTCATATGTTTATGCATACCTAAGTATATGTATGTGGATAATATATCTTGTATATAGATAACTATAACAAAGAAAACCGGTATCAATTTGAGAGGGAGTCAGAGGAACACTGGAGGGAGTAGAGGGAGAAAAGGGAATGAGGAGAGTGATGAAATATTATAAATAAAAATAATTTTAAAAGACAGTGGCAATTAGAAAGAAACTATTGGGAAGTATTACAGAAGAGGGAAAAAAGGAAAATAACACAGCAAGTTTTAAAACTTCTAACTGATCTTACAACTGTTAACAAAGGCACTTAACTTCCAGACATAACTCTCAAACCTTTTTCACAACAGTTTATACACCACAGCCACACGTAAAACCTACAGGACACTTTAACATTCTACACTGTCACAACATACATAAACAAAGTATCAAGAGGTTTTTAGAGCAACTTTGTAGCCTTTAAATGTTTGTCCTTTTTCTGTTTTTAACCTTTCAACTATTTATTTATTTTTACTATATATTTCAAAATATATAATACATAGTATAATACTGACTGATGGGGAAGAATTAGTCTATCATCTGAGATGCTTATAAGTACAATTCCACAGGGAGGCTGAGGTCCAAGCCTCATTTAATAAACATTTCTAGTGATTCTTAAAACAAAAATTTCAGAACTACTCTAAAATACAGTCTTTTTAAAAGGTCAACTCTATTTCATGGATAGTTCTAACGACCTTAGGTATATGGTGTTAGCAGGTAATATAGCAGAGTATTATAAGCTAAGCTATCAACCTTTGCATCCCCGATACTGGAAAGGAGCCAACCACCTGCCAATGCATGATCAAAATGTATGTGACCCCTCAACACCAACAGTCCTTCCAATTAAACTTAATTCTGTTTTTGTTTATAGATCTGATAAATCAGCTTTTCAAACAGAACTAGCTTGTGAAAAATATAAGTCCTTTCCTATTTAAGAGACTTTTTTTTTTTTAAAGATTTATTTATTTATTATGTATACAGTGTTCTGCCTACAAGTATCTTTGCAGGCCAGAAGAGGGCACCAGATCTCATTACAGATGGTTGTGAGCCACCATGTGATTGCTGGGAATTGAACTCAGGACCTCTGGAAGAACAGTCAGTGCTCTTAACCTCTGAGCCATCTCTCCAGCTCTAAGGGACTTTTAATAGGAAAAATTTAAAATTCCAATTTATCTTCAAACCATTTACTCAGACAGGCTATATGACAAGTTTTCCACTTAAGACTCAGAATTTCTGGCCGGTACTAGTGGTGCGTGCCTTCAATCATAACACTCAGCAGGCAGAGCCGGGCAGATCTCTGAGTTTGTAAGTTCCAGAATAGCCAGGGATACACTTTAGAGAAACGCTGTCTTAAAGAACAAACAAACAAAGATTCAGAATTTCTAACTCAAGATACTTTAATTATCTCAATTATATAGGGTAATAGAGCAACACAAACAGGACGATGGGCAAAGTTCTAAAACAGTAAGTAATCTGACTAGAAGTGAGTCCAACTCTAGTCCAGACTTGTGCCAATGAGCTACACTGTCTTTGTTCTGTCACTATGCTGAATCACATGTTAGAGCAAAACTTGAGCCAACAACAACAACAACAACAAAAAAAAAAGGAACATTTTTTTGGTTTGTTGTTTTTGTTGTTTTGAGACAGGGTTTCTCTGTTGTAGCCCTGGCTGTCCTGGAACTCATTCTGTAGACCAGGCTGGCCTCGAACTCACAGAGATCCGCCAGTCTCTGCCTCCTAATTGCTGGGATTAAAGGCATGCTCCACCACCTCCCAAAAACAACTCTTAAAGACAGGCAGTGATGGAGCACGCTTTAATCCCAGCCCTTAGAAGACAGAGTTAGGTGGATCTCTGAGTATGAGGCCAACCTAGTATGCATGGTAAATTCCAGGACAGTCAGGGCTCTGCTGAGAGACCCTGTCTCAAAAAACAACAACAACAAAAACCCAAAAATGGTCTTCTTGAAAAAATGTCACAAGGAGCTACAGAGTTGGCTCAGCAGTTACGAGCACTTGCTCTTCAAGATGAGCCAGATTCAATTCCCTACATGGTAGCTCACAACCAGCCCCAGGGATTCTGATGCTCATGTCTGTCCTCTGTGGGTACCAGGAAGGCATGTGGTCCATACACATACATGCAGGCAGAACACTCATAAATAAACACACATAAAGTCATAAATAAATCTTTTAAAAATGTCACAAGATATTGGACTAAAATAAACTCAAAGTTGAACACTAATGTGACTAAAACAAGTCAGCTGCCTTTAAAGGACGGCATTGGGTTGTTACTTTTCTCCTCCTCAGTCATTACCAAACACAATCAACATCCTTCAAAAACCTAAAAGCTAAGACAATTATCAAGTCAATTGCTCCATATATTATGCATACATTACTCTAGAATTTTCTTTTTTAAAATTAAAGTTTTATTTTATTTTTAATTACATGTATGTGTACTTATGGGTGGGTATGTACATTGACTATGGGTATCCATAGAGGCCAAAGAGGGCATCAAGATCCCTTGGAGCTGGAGTTACATACAGTTGTGAGTCACCTGATCTGGGTGCTGGGAATGAAACTTGGGTCCTTTGTAAGAGCAACAAGCACAATTAGCTGTTGAGCCATCTCTCCAGCCACCTAAAATTCTTTCTTAAAGAACTGACAATGCTACGTATAAGCAAATAAACTCTGTCTACATATAATTTATGGCTGTTAAATGAAAGCAAGGTTCATATATTTTGTGAAATAAGCAATGAAATGTTGAAATGTTTTTAGTATAAATCACCTACATAATATTTTTCTATGTTATATAACAAACTTTTATATTAAGTAAATAAAACAATAAAATTAAAAATGATATACAACATTTCTCTTTCTAGAAAGATTGTCAATAAAGCTTATCAAATAAGCAGAAAATTAAATAAATGCTTACATGTGCTGCTGATGTAACTTTGCAACTTCTTTTTCAAAATCTTGAGGTTGATTAGGAATGAAAGAATAATCTGAGAGGTAGCCTGGCAAGTTTTCTGACTGATTGTAGTCTCCAAGTTCAGCTAATAAGAAAAAGAAAATATCATGCTTTAATAAATATTTTAATTATACTAAGTCAGCAATGCCATTAATTTGTATATATTTTTGAGAAGAATATATGATTTTAATGTAACCACATTAAATAAGTTGCAATAAATTCTTGTGGGTCTCAATATCATAAAAAAATGTTTCAAGAATCAAAGTAAACTGCTACCCAATTGGCCATTTCACTGCATTTCCTCAGTAGTTTCTACGTTCTATACATCTAAAGGACTCCTGCATTAAAGGCAATATATTATCAATACAGACTACAAAACCATATGCTACTTGACTTAAAAGTAAGTTAATACTTACACTGAACAGCAAATGAAGCTAAAAGGGCAGCAGTATTATAAGGACAGGACAATCTAGTAAGACAAAAAAGAAAATACAGAACCCAAGGATAAATATCATTTCAAATGCGCTGTAGTTTACATATGTTTCTATATGCATTAATTGTAGCCACAATTAAATTAATTAAGCTGGGCTCATGAATTTGAGATGACTGCCAGTTTGAGACCAGCCCAGGCTACATAAGACAATGTCTCAGACAAACAAAAGAAGCCCCCTAAAAAGTCTGATAAAAGGAACTAGTACTACATATAACCATTTTTTAAATTTGTTACAGCAATCAATCATAAATTACTTAATATAGAATTTAAAGTATTTTTATACTATTAAAAAAACCTTAAAAATAGCTCACCTTCCAGTAAGAATGTCTTGCTTAATTTGCAAAAAATACTGATACCTTAAAAAGAGAAAGATATTTACTAGAATCATCAATTTGAGTTCTTATATACTCCATATTTACATTAACAAAATTAAATATTAAAGTATTTCCTTTTGTAATCTACACATTAGCACATAGAAAGTCAGCATATGTACACATTAGCAAAAAAACACCACAAATAGGCTTTTGTGACTTGACTACAAGTTTTTAAAATCCATCAATATATGGAACTTTGTATTTTGAATGTCTTCTTTCTATTATAAAACTACTCAAGACTTCTAAGATCTCTGCTGCCAGGGAGAAGACTTGGGAGCAACAGTCTGAGATTTGATCTGTGCAAGAAGAAACACTTTCATCAGAATACCCAAATTCCTTCTCCTACTATTGCTCTTGTATTAGAGTGGTTACATGACCAGCTTCTTCCAACACGAACAATAGTATGTTGTGACATGCTGCTGAGGCTGCTTACAAAATGGCACTGTCCTTCTGTCCCTGACAGTGGGTAAGCTAGTCAATATGTGGACAAAACCACCTGTGCTGAATAATATTGGCATAATAATAAATTTCATGATTTCAAACATTAACCAGGGAGTCTAAGAACTTCAACTTTTAAAAAGTCAAAACTCAAAACATAAATGTTATTTACTTAATTCAAGACAGTACAATTTTATCAGATCTACTTGGTTTCATAAATTAAAGATGAAACTGGTGGCATAAGTCAATGGCAGAGCACATGCTTCCCATGTACAAGGCCTAATATCACTAAAAAGAAGAAGAAAAAAAATCTAAAAGGTCTTTGGTACAAAAACAGTTTTATACTTGTGAGTTAAAGGTAATATATGCCCTTGTTATAATTGTAAAATCCTACACAAATAATACTTACTCATCAAAGATCATTTCTATATTCAATTAACAAAAAAGGGAATTATTAGTAAAAACCAGAATTCAAGTTCTAATGCAGCCTATTATTTGAGGTAAATTTCTAAAATTTGGGCAAATCTTAGTTTCTACATTTGTAAAAGGGAAATAAGATTACTTGCTAGGAGTACATGTTTTAGGAGTTTAAAAAATTCAATTCTAATGATGCTGATACTTGCCAATATTGAAGTATATTTATCACAATGGAAGATTTTGATGCCACTGTTTTTCTTCCCACTAATTCAAAATGTTATCTCAAAGCAAGCAGGTATAGCAAACTTCTTTTTTTTGTGAAATCTAAAGTACTCCTGAAGAGTGAGCAGCTGTGGCTGAGGGCATACTAATCAGGATCATCACAGTAAATTATTTCTTTCTTTTACTTTTTTTAAATAGAATATTTTCATACAATATATTCTGATTATGGTTTCCCCTCCCCCCAACTCCTCCCAGATCCTCTCCTCTCTCTCTTGTTAGAAAACAGGCATCTAAATAACAACAACAATAATAATAATATAAAAACAAACACACAAACCAGAATATGACAAAACAAACATCCAAACATACACAAAATAAAAAGAAAGAAAGCACAAGAAACACACACAGACACGGAGACAAACACTGCACCCACAGACAATCCATAAAAACAAAATTGGAAACCACTGTCTCTATGCGCTTGTATCAGTGTATGGGTATGTGCACATGAGTCCATGTGCCCACAGAGGCCCCAAGAGTGCCCTAGATGGCCTGGACGTGGAGTCACAAGCAGTTGTGAAGCACCGGACGTGGTACTGGGAACCAAGGTAGGGTCCCGGCAAGAACAGCATGTGCTCTTAACACTGAGCCGTCTTCTTCAGCCGCACATGAATGCACTTCTTAGCCCTGATCCCTTGCTATAATACTAGAGTTACCTGAGGAACTATACACGTCTTTACTCAGGTGCTGTCTGAGTCACATTACATCAGAGTATCTAGGGTTATAGACAACTACTATGTTTTAAAGCTCTCCCAAATGATTATAAATTGCTAATCAGGGTAGAGAATCACTTTTGTATAATTACGATGATTAAATAAAATGTAGTCATGTACCACAATTTACCAACTACAATACTGATAAGGCACAAAGATCTTTGAAATTAAACATTATTTCTAATGAAAACAGATAATCTCCTGCACTGATAGCTTGAGCACAAGTTAACTCTCTTCAAGTTGACTCAATTATCAGTGAAACATACCCTCATTGTTTCCAGTACATGCTAGTAACACACATAAACACACAGTTAGTAAATGCAGTTTTCTGTGTGAATTAAACATTGAACCCGGCTGCTGTCCGACTGTGAAATGTCCCCATAGCTCAGGTGTTTGAACACTTGGTCCCCAGCTAGCCGGTGGTGCTGCTGTGGAAGGTATGGAGCCTTGCTAGAAGTGAGTCACAGGGCAGGCCCCTTCCTCTCTGCTTTCTGACTACAGCCACGATAACACCAGCGGCTTCCTGCTCCTGCTGCCAGGCCTACTCTGCTATGATGGGCTGTAATCAATCCTAAGCGCCAGGTCAAAATGAACCTTCTTCCCTTAAGTTGCTTCTTGTCAAGTATTTAATCAAAGCAACAAGAGAAGTAACTAATACAATATAACTGACAGTATTTTAATTGTTTATATTAACAAACATCATAAACAATAAAAATGCTAAGAATCTAATTTAAAATTGATGTTTGAATTGTGTTTCTTATATATTAAAAGTCTGATTACCTAGAACCTTCACCTTAGAATATTTATACTGCTTTATAATTCAAATTGCTAATTAATTCTGGCTAATTTCCTTGGAGTTCATGGAAAACTTTTAGTAGCTTGAGATATTTTATAATCATAAAAGATTATTTTAAATATTTAACATCAACAACATATTTGCTAAATTTAGTATGAAAATTGTATTTTGATACCTAAAATAAAGTATGATTTTAAAGGGAGGAAAAGCAACAACAAAACCTAAGAGCTATGATGGTAAATTAGACACAATTTTGTTTTTCAAAAAAAAAAAATAGCTTAGATTCTATTACTATTGCAAATATTCCAGCTGCCTAATATGGCATCTGTACTCCAGTGTCTTCTCATTATCAAAAGAGCAACATCAGCAAACAGAAAAGACTCTCAAAAACTATGACTTTTCTTTTCTTTTCTTTTTTATTAAGCTTGGTTTACTATTGCAAACTCCACAGAAACCGAGGAATGGCACTGTGAACAAATTTAATTGCTTTATTTTTCTGCTGCTCCATTCTATCAACATCACTAAATTCTGATAGCCACTCACCCATAGTCTTATGTCTGAGAAGTGTATAGAAGGTATGTATTCTAATTCTTTTCATTTACATTACTAATTCTGCATTTCACCAAATGACTGTCACTACTTCTCTTATTTCTACCCTAAACATTTTACCTGATTCTCAAGGACACTGCTGAAAGGCTCCTATACGTCCTTTGTGAGTACTTTCTGAAGTAGAAGTGATGTGCTGAGATTTAGAATAGGCAGTCAGGTGGGCATGTAGAGGCCCGAATGTGCTTTATTCCTACAACATCCGTTATAAAATCCAGGGTGTTTTCTTTGGACTTAAAGATAAAAACACATTCTTCACAGGATGGCTGTACATACATACACATATACATACATACATACATACATATATGGAATTTTGCATTCTCCTCAACAAAAAGAGAGAGGAAAAAAACTAGAATATGCTTTTGCATGAAAAAATATATACACCAGAAACTCTTACTATGCAACATGCCTTGGATACACTCCAATGCCATCTCATTCCCTGTTTACTTTCAGTAGTGCTGTTAGTGGCTGGATGAGGTGGCTCTGGGTGTCCAGCTCCTGAAAGTTCTTCCAGTCATTCAAACGGGGAGGAAAGAGTTGCATTGGGACAATTTATAAACTTTTCAGTATGCTAAATTAGAAGTTCAAGTTTTCAGCATGGTCATTTATTTTTGCCTAGTTAATTTCATTTTTTTCATATTAGATCTTTGCCAATGTTTTCAAAAGAAACAGTTCCATAAACCCACCTTGTATACTCTTCTTGTAACTTGTTAGGGTCACTTACAAAGAATTTGACTCTAAAGTTCAAACTGTAAGGAGATCCTCCTAAAATTAACAAAAACAGCTCTAATTAATCAGATTACATTAGTCCATCATCTTTATAAGGCATATTTGCAAAATAGCAAGTAAATAGCATGCTCACTCTTTAGCTGCTTCCTTATTGGTTTGTTTGGATCCAGCCACCTCTGAAAAATAAAGAAGAGAGATTTCTTTTTCCCCCGAGGAACTAGCATATTGGTTATTATATATCTGTTCCACTTGAAGACTGCATTTGGAAAAGGGTTAGGTAGAAAAAGAATCCGATCAGAAACTGTATTGCTCTGATGGCTGGTGATAAGAGGGTAGTAGCACCGCTAGGCAGGCGAGCCTGGGCTGCATTAGCAAGGCAGTCAAGCATGGGCCTAGGAGCAACCCAGTGAGCAAATTTCCTTCAGGGTTCCTCTTCAGGCTCCTGCCTTGATGTTCCCCGAGCAAGACAAAATAAAACACTTTGTCCCAAAGCCTGATTTCCTTGTTCAGTTCTTTGAACTAAAATACTCTGATATAAGAAGCACAAATACTTAATTAAATAAATGTGTGAGGCTGACATAGCTTAGAAATAATGTTATAGTGAGCACTGAGAAACTGAACACATGCACTCATGAACGACGTCAGTGAGACAGGACTTAGGTTCTTGGTTAAAGCCAGGAAGGTGGAACAATGGTAACATGTAGTACTGGCTGTTAAATGACAGCATTCACAGTTAAAAATACGAAAGATCATTAAATCCAGGAAGTAAATGAACCATCAAAAACTAGAATGGGCTGGCGAGATGGCTCAGTGGGAATGGCACTTCCAGCCAAGTCTGATGACCCGAATTTAATCCCCACCACTAACGTGGTGGAAGAAGACTTGAGTCTCAAAAGTTGCCCTCTGGTCTCCACACATGTGCTGTGGCACAGTTGCAAACCACCACACAAACACACATAGTAAGTAAATGTAAAAAACGAAAAGAAACAAAAAATTCAACAAACAAATCAACCCACAAGGAAATCTTATACATCAATAAGAAAAAAGACCAATATTAATAGAAAAAATAGGCAATGGACACTAAGTTCACAACTAAGGAATAAATGGCATTTAAATATATAAAGATAGTTCATCTTGACCACAATTAAAGAAATTCAAAATAAATGTATGTTGGGCTCTGCTTTTGAGACTGGTTTCAGTAGTTAAGAGCTAATGTTGACTTTGAACTTTATAAACCTCCTGCCAGAGCTTCCAGAGTGCTAGAAGTACAGGCATGTGCCACCATACCTCTGTACCCAACAACATAAGCTTTTTAAAATGAATGCCACCCTAATGAATGAACATTATGTCCTTGTGTCTTAGTCTCATTTCTTATTTTTGTGATAGAATACCCTGACAAGAGCAACTTAGAGAAGGAAGGGTTTGTTGTAGCTCCTAGCTCTATGTCCACTCTTGAAGTCCGCTCTAAAAGGGAGGTCACAGCTACAGGAGCTTGAAGCAGCTAGCTATTTACATCACGTTAATGGTCAAGAGCAAAGAGCAATAAAATAACGCGAACATGCTTGCACTTTGCTCACTTTCTCCTTTTAGTACTGTCCAGGACCCAAACCTGGGGAATGATGCCACCTACTTTTAGGTCCTTCCTCCCCATATCAATCAACATACTCAAGAAAATCACACAGACATGCCCAGAGGCCAACTCAGACAGTCCCTCACTGGGATTCCTTTCCCAGGTGATTCTAGATTGTATCAAGTTGACAACTAAAACTAATCAATGAAAACTGCTTTTTATTGCTGTTCGATTAATATTACAATCCATAGATGTGACGCTTTTGAATGGTTAAGTTAGTCTGCTCTTTCAAATAATAGTGCTATAAACATCTAAGCACACGATTTTGTGTAGAAATGTGTACAAGCCTTGGGTACATTTTGAAAACAAGTACTATAAATTCTATTTTACTTTATGTGCACATCTGTGTATACAAATGTACAAACATGCTCACAAGTACGTGGGCATACCTGTGAACATGCATGAGCATGTATGCGTGCACATGAGTGTGTATGTATGTGAAGGCTAGAGAATAATCTGGGATGTTGCTCCTCAGGAGCCATTCACCGTTTTTTTTTGTTTTTTGTTTTTTTTTTTTTTTGAGACTGGGTCTCTCACAGGGATGTGAAGTGCCCCAATTTGGGCAATATATGCTCATTTTCTGTAAGAACTTCCACTAGACAAAGATTATGTGACTGTCTGATTATACTTGATATTATTGCTGCTATGTTGAAAACATCAGCTTTCCACAGCATCTACTCTATCTTAGCTAGTGAGTACTACTGTGTGTGGGTACATGTGGAGGGCAGAAATCAATGTTGGGTGTCTTCCTCAATAATTCAATATTTTACTTTAAAAAAATTGCATTTTATTGGCAGCACATAAATATACCATGGAGGTCAAAGGACTATTGCAGGAATCAGTTCTCTCTTTCTACCATGTGGGTCCCAGGGATCAAACTTCAGTCATCGGGTACAGCATTAAGCACCTTTACTCAACTGAGCAATCCTGCTGACCCATTCATTCATTCATTCATTCATTGACTCACTCGTTGTTTATTTATTGAAACAAGGCTAGTAAGTCACAGGGCTCTTCCTGTTTCTGCTTCCTTGCTGTTGGGATTATAAATATGTACTGCTGTGCTCAGCTTTTTATATGGTTTCTGTAATATCAAACTCTAGACTTCATTATGCATGGCAAGCACTTTACCAACTAAAGCAGTCTCGAAGCCCAAAAGATGTTTTATTTTAATATTTATTGTAGACTTATTAATGTGTCAAGATATGTAAAAATCCAATTCCTCTCCTTAAACCCAAGACTGGTATTATTTGTGTATCTTTACAGATTGCTCTTCCCTGTATAATATTGTTTGTTCACTTGGGTAAATCTATTTTGTAGTGTTGACTTCCCTCAAATGTTGGTGCCCATTTGTTAAACACTTATTTTTATTTGAAATTCTCTGTAAGATTTTTTGTGAATACTTTCTATCTTGGAGAAAAGACAAAATATATAGTTTGACTCCAAATAGTTGGTGGGGGATTAAGAAGCTGCCACAGGTTGTAACAGCTAGTGTCCATGTTTATCTAGTCTCTGGTTCACCACAATGTGAACTGCTCTGCTCGACTAGCTCCTCCATGTTTTGATGAACAACATCTCGGGAACTGGAAGCTGAAACAAGTGTTTTCTTCAGTGTTCCGCTAGGCATTTTGTCACAGCAATACAAAAGTAATGAATGCAGTGGGGAAACTTTTACTGTAGCTCTGCTGTACTGTCTAGCACCTTTTCATTTCAACTTGAAGGACCTGCCATAAGCATTTGAGGTAAATCTAGTGGTAACGCACTCCCTTGGTTGTAATTTATCGGAGAATACCTTAACCTCCACCTCTGTCACCTTATTTTGTTTATACCTTAACCTCCACCTCTGGCACCTTATTTTGTTTAGTGAAACTGAATCTCGATGTCTTAGTGTTCTATTGCTGTGAAGAGACATCACAACCAAGGCAACTCTTATAAAGGAAAACATTTAACTGGGGTTGGCTTACAGTTCAGAGGTTTAGTCCATTACCATCATGGCAGGAAGTGTGGTGGTGTGCAGGCAGACATGGTGCTGGAGAAGAGCTGACAGTTCTGCACCCTGATCCGTGTGCAGCAGGCAGAGCTGGTTTGAGCTTCCGAGCCCTCAAAGCTCACTCCCTAGTGACACACGTCCTCCAACAAAGCCACACCTAACTCCAACAAGGCCATATCTCCTAATAGTTCTACTCCCTTTGGACTAGAGTTTAAACACTCAAGTATTCAAACACATGAGTCTATGGAGGTCATTCCTATTCAAACCACCACACTCACTAAGGGGTCAGCCTGGTGTTACCTCCCAACCCTCCTGTCTCAGTCTCCAAGTGCTAAGACAACAGGTGCCATACTGAACTCCCTCACATTTGAAGTAATTTTGCTAGATTGAGAATCTGTCGGTTCACTGCAGTTTTCTTCCAGTATTTTTTTTTTTTTTTTTTTTTTTTTTTTTTTTTTTTTTTTTTTTGGTTTTGGTTTTTCGAGACAGGGTTTCTCTGTGTAGCTTTGGGCCTTTCCTGGAACTCACTTGGTAGCCCAGGCTGGCCTTGAACTCACAGAGATCCGCCTGCCTCTGCCTCCCGAGTGCTGGGATTAAAGGCGTGCGCCACCACCGCCCAGCCTTTCTTCCAGTATTTTAACTATATTATTCCATTGCCTCTGGCTTGCAAGTTTTCTATTAAAAAATCTCTCACTAAGTTGAGGATCCTCTATACCTGTTGAGACATTTTTTTTTTCTCACTTCTTTCAAGATTCTCTTTGTTTGCCAACAGTTTGTAACCATTCAGATGTTTCTTCAAATTTGGGAAGCTTTTAGCCATTAACTTCTTCAAATAGTATCTTTATCCTCTTTCTTCTCCCTACTTTCTGGAGGTATTCCTCTGGTTTGATTTTTCTACTAATCCTCCTTAGATTTCCCCTTTCTAAGGAATTCTTAAAATTGAGTTAGTGGTATGCACATACCAGCACAGGTGTACCATGTGACTTTTTCCAAAAGTGGAAAAAGAAGCCGTTGAAAACAGAAGACATTTGAGGGGAGTCAACACTATGAGATAGATTTACCGAAGTAAATAAACCATATTTTATATTTGGAAGAGCAATCTGTAAAGAAACAAATTGTACCAGTCTTGGGGTTGAAAAAGAGAAAAATTACAGTGGGTGAGATTCACAATTTTCTAGTTTTTAGCACAAGGGTAAGCAAGCTCTAATTGTTTATCATACAGACAACATGCTTGAGATGTCAGAAGACAGGAAGGCAGAATCTTAGATAACTAAAGCTGACAGGAGAAATAGGTGAAAAGCTAAGGTTCAAAGAAGCACAGACATACAAGTCACCCCAATTCTTGCTGAAAGATGAAATACACATGTATAGAAAGACCCAAGAGCACTCCACCAACAACAGCAAAAAACAAACAGCTGGAAACTTTAAAAACTGAGTAGGGCACCAGCAAAATGGCTTGGTAAATAAAGGCACCAACAAACCTGACCACCTAAGTTAGATCCCTGGGACCCAAATAGTGGAAAGAGAGAACTAACTACGGCCAAGTTGTTCTCTGAATG